AGTTTTTTTTACTTCCCTTTCCATGTCGTATGTACATATTGTCACATTTTACATGTCATCATGTAAATGTGATGTCATCATCTCATTCATAAGTTTCCTACTTTTAATTACGGCCCTTTTTTTTCCCTACTTAAAGAAGTTCTTTTTAACATCTCTTGTGAGACAGTTTGGTGGTGGTAAACTCCTTTAACTTTTGTTGGTCTGGGGATACTCTCTCTCTCCCTTAATTCTGAATGATAACCTTACTGCTTTTAAAATTCTCCCTTGGACTTTTGACATTTTAATTATGTGCAATGCTGTGCACCCCCTTGCACTCATTTTGTTTGGAACTCTCTGTGCTTCTTGGTCCTGGATGTCTGTTTCCTTCCCCAGGTTAGGGAAGTTTTCAGCCACTGTTTCTTCAGATAAGTTTTCTGTTCCTTTCTCTCTCTTCTCCTTCTGGAACCTCTATAATACTTGTTTGTTTGATGTTATTCAAGAGATCCCTTAAGCTATCCTCATTCTTTTTGCTTTTTCCTGTTCAGCTTGGGTGCTTTCCATGACCCTGTTTTCCGCATCATTGATCAATTCTTCTGCATCTGCTAATAAGTTGATTCCCTCTAGTGTATTTTTCATTTCACTTAATTGTATTCAACCTGGATTCATTCCTCTTTATATTTTCTGTGTCGCTGTTGAAGTTCTCACTGAGTTCTACTCTTTCTCCAGTCTGGTGAGCATCTTTAAACTCTTTATCAGTTAGCTCTTTATATGGCTTAGCTCTGTTTATTGGGGGGTGGGGGGAGTTGTGATGTTCTTTCGTTGGGAGCATATACATATGTCTCCCCATTTTGCTTGACTTGTGTTTGTTGCTATGTATTAGGCAGAATAGCTACTTCTCCTAAACTCAGAGGAATGGTCTTGTGTATAGTTGTCCCCTGTAAAATGTGTGTGCCTGATGGCTTTGGCTGGCTGGAGCTGTGTCTGAGGGCTGCCCTGGTGGGATGACTGAGGTGATGTTAGCTAACACCAAAGTGGGTACAAGCCAGGGTGCCCGGAGTGCCCGTGCAGGGACTGCCTTGGTGGGATGATTGGAGCTGTGCAGGCCGAGGTATGTCCTGAGGCACTCCATGCAGGGGGTACCATGGTGGGATGGCTGGGGCCAAAGTGGGGTACAAGGCAGGGTTCCTGGAGTGCTTCATGCATAGGGTCCCCTGACAGGGTGGCTGGCACCTGAGGCAGGCATGGGTTAAGGGTTCCTGGAGTTCTCTGCATAGGAGCCATCTTGGCAGGGGGGCAGGAATCAAAGTAGGCATGAGCCAATAAGTCCCTGAGTGCTCTGTTCTGAGGGTGCCCTAGCAAGTCCTCTGAAGCCAAGATGGTATAGGCTTGGAGTATTCTGGGCTCCCTGGCATCTGTGTCACCTTGGCATGACAGGTGGAGCTGTTGTGAGCACTGACTAGGGTGTCCCGGTGTCCATTGCACTAGGGCTGCCTTGATGGGTTGGCTAAGGCTGATGTGGACTAGGGGTCCAGGGCTCACTGAGGCAGTAGACTATAGTGCCTGGACCTTGGTCCTGTCCACACTATCAAGGTGGAGGGAGAATGTAAACCATAGGGCTCACCAGCCCCTTTAAACCAGAGGGAGTTCCAGCAAGCCCCCCACCATTTGATGGACTTTTAAGGCTGGATCATTTATATTACAGTTCTTCCTTAAAACTGTGGGGTTTTATCTGTGCCCCAGGGTGTCTGGGGTTGGTGTGAGCTAGAGAGCCGGCACTCTCTAACACAGCAGCTTGGCTATGATGCCCGGGCCCTGCTCCTGTCTGGGCTATCAATGTGGAAGATGAATGTAAACCATGGTGCTTGCCAGCCCTTTGAACTTGGAGAGAGTTCCAGCAGCTCCCTTGCCGTTTGGTGAACTTTTAAGGCTGGATCTTTGATATTCTAGTTGCCCTTTTATTTTTTATTTAAGTGTTTATTTTTGAGAGAGGGAGAGGGAGAGAGAGAGGGAGAGGGAGAGAGGGAATGTGTGCACGTGTGTGTAAGGGAAGGGCAGAGAGAGAGGGAGACTGGGGATCCTAAGGGGCCTCTGTGCTGATAGCAGAGAGCCTGATGCAGGGCTCAAACTCCCAAATTGGAAGATCATGACCTAAACTGAAATCATTGAGCCACCCAGGCGCACCTCTAGTTGCTCTTTTAAACCATGTTTGTTTGGTTTTTTCTGTGACTGGGGGCAGACAAATCTGCTCGGTCCCTCAGTACTATCCCTCCCCACTATAGTTTGCAGTGTTGAGGGTGAGAATTCCCTTCCTTGGTGTGTCTCCATCTCTCTTGCCAGTTCTCTGTGGCCTCTTTATCTTTTGTTGTGCAGAAGCTATTCACTCAGCCCTCAGCTCTTCCTCAGGAGTAACTGCTCTATAAATAGGTGTTGATTAGGGGTGTCCATGGAGGAAGAGAGTTCAGAGTCTTCCTACATCACCATCTTGGATCAGAAGTCTGTGTCTGACCATTTTTAACAATAGTAAGGAGAGAACTTCAAGATCTTTTGTGAAATTACAATAATTGGATACACTTTGTTTATAGATAAATATACCCGTGGAATTAAAGGGACAAAATCAGATCTGCACGCACACGCGTAATACATGTATACTAAATACGTAAACACTGTGTATGTGTCAGATAGAAGAATTCTATGCATGTATACTGAAATATATGCCAAAAGAGGATTGCTGAAACGCTCTTCTCTCATCCAGAAACATTGGAAACAGGCTAAATGTCCACTCATGAGAGAATGGAGTGGGTAAATTCACAGCACTACACAGCTGTGAAAATCTGTGAGGAGGATATACTCAGGGGAAGTGAGAAAAGCACTTACTTGCATCCTGAGACATTTGAGAGGAATTGTCCCTCTGGAGCTTGTCTGCCACTGGATCTGCACGTCCCCCAGCCTGGGAAGCTGCTCGGGGGCAAGGAGATGGAGTGCTGGCAGCCACACCGTGAGACCAAGGAGGAAAAGCACTGCAACCATGAGGAAGAGTTCCTTTTCCTTACAGGGTCCTTCCTGAGCTCGTAGAACACTGGGCCAGCTGGAGAAATGTTTCTGAGTCCTGCTCAAGAAGCATCAAGGAAGACAAAACGGCATAGATCTGACACTGAGCGGCAGTACATTTATAAGTGACCAAAGCACAACTCGTATTATCTGTTTTACAAATACGAGTAACATTCTCAACAGCACTTCTTACTTAGATGGAATTCCTACTATAGAATTCCTACTTTGTCTTGCAAACAAGACACAGGTATTCTCTGAACGTTACTGCAAGTAATACTTCTACGTTTTAGTAGTAACTTGAGGGTATATTAGCCTTAGAAAATAAAGGATTCAGAAGAAAAAATGAAGGTTTAGCGACGGAGAATGGCCAGGCTGAGTAAATTTTGGATGCCATTTAGATGGAGATAAATTCCGAGAGGAAGATAGGACCAGTTTTCCACTGAATTGTCACAGTATTCGTGTCAAAAATCAATCACCCATTAATGGTTTATTTCTAAACTTCCAATTCTATCTTTTTGATCTTTCTTTTATCATTATGAAGTCTTCATTATTCTAGCTTTGTAGTAAGTGGTGGAATCTAGAAGTACGAGTCTGCCAACTTTGTTCTTTTTCAAGATTATTTGGCTGTTCGGGGTCCTTACACTTCCATGTAAAATTTATGATCAGCTTGTTTATTTCTACCTAAAAAAATAGCTGAGATTTTGATAGGGAGTGTGTTGAATGTGTAGACAGTTTTGGGGGGAAGGACTATTGTGTCTTACAATCCATGAGCATGGGTGGGATGTCTTTCCATTTATTTAGGTTGCCTTTAATTTTTTTTCAGTAATGTTTTATAGAATTTGTTGTAGGAGTCTTACACTTATTAAATTTATTCCTAAGTCTTTCATACTTGTTGATTCTATTGTAAATGATTTGTTTCTTCAATTTTGGATAGGTCATTGCTAGTGTCTAGAAATACAATTAATTTTTTTCCTCTTTGGTCTTGCATCCAGCAATATTGCTGAACTTACTCATTAGTTCTTATAATTTTTTGTGGATTCTGTGTGAATGTCTGTACACAATATTATTGCCATCTGTAGAGTATGTTTTAGAATATTTTGGATGATATGTTTTTCTTAAATTAGACACTGTAAAATTTGGTTGAGTGAATCAATTATAGCCTTAACAGAGTGAATAGTTGTTTTTTTCTTTGTATTTTTTCATGCAGGATAAATCTGCCAGCAAAGAAAAATCCAAGGCACCAGTGAGATTTCTACCACAATTGTCAATGGTAATAGACCAATATATTATCATACTTGATGCTTCTATAATAAAGGTTTACTAGTTTTCATAATTGTAAATAATGAGTTTACTGAGTTTCTGGTTTTTATTTTTGGGGGGTGGCAGTTTATTTTTTTATTTCTTTAAATTATTGTCAAATTGGCTAACATACAGTGTGTACAGTGTGCTCTTGGTTTTGAGGGTAGATTCCCATGATTCATCGCTGACGTACAACTGGGTGCCCTCCTCAGTGCCCATCACCCATCCCCCCCCCCATCAACTCTGTTGGTACTCTGTATTTAAGAGTCTTGAGGCGCCTGGGTGGCTCAGTCGGTTAAGCACCCGACTTTGGCTCGGGTCATGATCTCACAGCTCGTGGGTTCGAGCCCCGCGTAGGACTCTGTGCTGACAGCTCGGAGCCTGGAGCCTGTTTCAGATTCTGTGTCTCCCTCTCTCTCTGACCCTCCCCTGTTCACGCCATCTCTTTCTCTGTCTCTCTCTCTCAATCTCTCTCAATCAGAAATAAATTTAAAAAACATTAAAAAATAAAAAAAGAGTCTCTTATGGTTTGCCTCCCTCCATCTTGGTTGGTAACTATTTTTTCCCTTTCCTTCCCCCATGGTATTTTGTTAAGTTTTCCAACTTCCACATATGAGTGAAAACATAGGATACCTATCTTTCTCTGACTGAGTTACTTCATTTAGCATAATACCAAAACTATGGAACGCTTCACAAATTTGCATGTCACCCGTTCACAGGGGCCATGCCAATCATCTCTGTATCGTTCCAATTTTAGTATATGTGCTGCCGAAGCCAGCACTGAATTTCTGGTTTTAAATTCTGTGCTCCAGTTAACTGTTTCCTGATGGAGAGCATCTATGATGCACATATCTTGGGAAAAATAACTACCTTAATGAAAGGAATTATAAGTTACAATTACTGGGTTGCACAGAATATTTGAGTAATCTGAATTAAAGAATTGTGAAGATGGGCTGGCAGAAGCAGTACTGGAATCAGGAAATGAAGACTTGGGTTATAGCTTTGTCACTAATGGCTCTGTGACGCTGATGATGAGTCACCTCTTGGAGCCCCAGTTTCTTAGTCTGAAAATGAGAAGAGCTGATTGAATGATCTTTGAGGAGATGCCTTTTCCAGCACTAAAATGTGATTTCTTGGGTCTTGACATCCTTTGTCATTATTTTGACTTTGAGTTATCGTTTTTCTGTGGAAGGGGCAGTTAATAGACATTTTTATTTGATCAAGTGCTAGAAGTGTTAGATTTTACTGCAATAAAATGTACTCTCTAGTACTTTTATGTTGTGTTTAATTGAGTGTAACGGAGTGATGCTCTTGTGATTCTCGGAAGTTGAGTTTCAGTGGAGGTTCAATACAAACGTTATTTGTTGTGAAATATCTTCTAAAAACTCAGAATGAACTATAAAATCTGGATTGCTTCATGCAGAGATGATTCCTAATAATATGAAATAGAGGCCTTTTTCAGCTTAAGAATCTCAAATGAAATTTTGTTGGTGAATGTTCTTGAGCATTTCAAAGTAGGTGTTATAATTGTTAACCTGTTCTTATTGCTTTATGGATAATGCCAAAATTACCACACTGTGTTCTATAAAATAAAATTATGGCATTTTTTTAGTTCTGCAAATCTCTAAGCTCTCTAGTCTAAAAGACTAAGATCTGAAATAGATATTTTTCCCTTTAAAAACTTAACAAATTTTAAAACTGAAAAACATTGCCATTAGTTTTTTTATGTTATTAGTATATAGGTTCAGAAATACCAACAAAATTTAAATTTACATACTGAATAAATACTCAATGGCTGAGAGAAAGAAGTCTTTCTAGCCATCAGTGTATAAAATGATTTTGTTGTCTGATTTAAACCATATTCTATGTTCTTATTTGACTGTATCTTAGCATTGTTTTTGTATCCTTTGGGGCTGTGGGGCTTTTTAAAGATCAGTAATATTTTTAAGAGATATTTTTAAAAGTAACCAATTGAGCAAAAAATGTTGTCATCTGAATATTAAGGTTGGCACTTAGATGGCATTTTTGTAGCTGTAGTTAAGACCTAGAATGATTTTCGTTATAGACTTTCATGCTTCTGTAGTTGAAATCAAGGATGATTCAGTACTGGTGGTTCCCAATGTCTGTGAACTGGTGGCCAGATTCTCCTCCTTTGTGCACACCTCACTGCTAGCACTTACATGTCCTAAGTCCTTTATGGAGCAAGATGAAAGTGGAAGAATGGAAGGACAGATAGAAGGGTAGAAGAGCATGGATTTTTAAGATGTCTTAGCTTGTTACCTGTGGAAGAAGAGCCTGAAGAGAGGACTTGTGTGTACTTTATTTGGGAAATGATCCCAGGAAGTAGAAATAAGAGTAAAACTAGGAAGAAAGAAAAGCCAGTCTGAGGATGCGTTGGCAAGTTCATTGCTACATCAGGTAACTGGGGGTGATCCTGCCATGACCTTCTGAGGAGCTTATATACTGCTTCCTGCAATTGTCTGAGTATGATTAGGGAGTAGCATTTATCCATCAGCTCTCCTCCCACATAGCTAGAGGTTACTCCTGAGATTGTCAACTTTCACCCACTTCTGGTGGGCGATAGGCCTGGGGAGCAGCCACTGCCTCTATGTCTAAAGCGTAGACTAAGACCTCTTGGAGAGGGGTTGGCTGTGGCCCACTTGGGTGGCAAAGACGTTTGCAGAGATGCTGCAGGCTGAGAGTTGAGTAGACGACCTGTTTGCTAAAAATTTGAAATGAGGTCTCCCTTTATGATGTAGGGAAACTTTCTGAGAAGATGCCTGTAGGGATGACCGTGAAACCTGAAGGGTGTCTGCCACAGGGTCCACCCCATACCACGGGCTGGGAAGGTGCCCAGGGGAAAGGGTGCTGACTACTGGTAGTCACCCAATGGAGCAATGGGGAAAAGCCCTGGAACCAGGAAGAAAAGTTCTCTCAGTGTCCCTTTTGAATCCTCTGTGATGCTGGGCCAGCTGGAGAAATGTTTACCGAGTCCTGTTCAGGAATCACAAAACGTGTTAAAAAGCATAGATTTGATGCTGAGAGGCAATAAATTGACCGGTGGCCAAGGTACAACTCCTACGTGTTTTACCAACCAAAGGATCATTCTCCATAGTGCTTTCTATTATGTAGATGACATTCCTACCCTGTCCTTCCCCTCTACGCCAAGGGATAGCAACACTTTTCCCTGAAAAATACAAATTTTACTTACGGCAGCTTGGGGGCACATTAAGCCAAACGTGTCATTACCTTACAAAGCAGAACATCACAGTCGTCAATAGAAAAGTGCTATTTTAGTGATAGAGTAGGATGGTAGAGCTGAGAAGCCCCGGACACTAGCTGGGTTCAGATAAATTCCCAAAAGAAGGTGATGGGTGAGAAGCTTTGCACTTTTCAAAGCTTCCTAAGTATTGTTGGATACCACCTTTCTTTCTTTCCTTGCTACAAAGGAAGTCATTCTAAGACAAATGTTGAGAAATTTTAAAGTGGTCTTTGAATGTTTTTTGATGACCTGTACCTTCCAGTAGATCCTCTATCAAATTGGTTGAATGAATCAATGGTGCCATTAAGAGTAAACAGTTTTCCTTCTATTTTCATGCAGGATAAGTCAGCCAACAAAGAAAAAGTCAAGACCCCAGGAAGAGTTTTACCACAGTTGGCTACGGTAATTTACCTACATACTGGATCTTTGCCCTTTTGAAAATGTCTTTCAAACTTGTAAATAAGTAACTAAATAATCAGATTTTGAATTTGGAGCTCCATTTGATTATTTTCTGTTGGAGACCTTCTAGGAGGGACACATCTTGGGGAAAAATAACCTTAAAGTAACTGTAAGCTATAATTTTCTGGTATGTCAAGAGTATTTCAATATTCTGGATAAAAGAATTTCCAGGATGGGCTAGCAGAAAGTTTATCAGTGTTAAAGTTAGGAAGTGAGGGCTCAAGGTACAGCTTTGTCACTAATGGCTTTAGGATCTGAAAGGATCATTTATCTCTGTGAGCTGCAGCTTCTCTGTTTGAAAATGAGAAGAGTTGGTTTCCTTGAGATGTATCTTCCAGCACTGAAACGCTCTGCCACAGAAGAATCCTTAGAACTTGGTGTCCTTTTAAAAATGACTATGATAATAAATTATCATCATCCTATAGTAGAGGCAGTTCATAGACCCTTTGAACTGTTAACCACTGGGTATGATATGCTTAACTGTAATACATTTTACCAGTAATTTTGCTAGTAATTTTGTGGAGTTTGGTGCCATTGAGCTGTGTCCTTATGACTACTGGAAGTTGGATTTAGGTGGAGGTTTAATGCAAACAGTATTTTTTTCTAACTGTGGTACAATGCACCTAACGTATAATTTACCATTTTAACTGTTTTTGACTGAACCATAGTTCAGTGTCATTAAGGTCATTCACATTGCTGTGCATCCGTTGCCATCATCCATCTCCAGATCTCTTTTCAACTTTGCAAACTGAAGCTCTGTGCCATTAAACAGTATCTCCTTTGTCTTCTGAGCCCATGGCAGCTTGCCTTCTACTTTCTGTCCTCATGTGTCTGACTACTCCAGGTAGCTCCTGGAAGTGGAACCATCTGACATGTCCTTTGATGCCTGGCTTATTTTACTTGGCATAATGCTTTCAATGTTTATCTAAAGCCTTATTTTTTGAAAGATAATTTAAGAGCTACAAAGTATAAAAATGAATTTGTGTTGCTTTATGTAGAGAAGATTCCTGATAATTTTAAATGGATGACAATTTTTCATCTGGGAAACTTAAGAGTTGATATTCTTAAATGAAAGATTTTGAATATTACAAAATAAAAATTTTTTTAAATTTTTTTAAATGTTCATTTTTGAGAGACAGAGAAAGAACGCAAGCAGGGAGGGTCAGAGAGAGAGAGGGAGACATGGAATCTGAAGCAGGCTCCAGGCTCTGAGCTGTCAGCACAGAGCCCGATGTGGGGCTCGAACCTACTAACTGTGAGATCATCACTGAGCTGAAGTCAGGTGCTTAATCTATTGAGCCACCCAGGGGCCCCTACAAAATACAATTAAAAAAATTTTTTTTTTAACATTTATTTATTTTTGAGAGACAGAGACAGAGTGCAAATGGCGGAAGGGGAGAGAGAGGGAGACACAGAATCCAAAGTTAGGCTACTGGCTCTGAGCTGACAGCACAAACCCCATGAGGGCTTGAACTCATGAACCATGAGATCATAAGCTGAGCCAAAGTCAGACGCTTAACCAACTGAGCCACCCAGGTGCCCCCCAAATACAAATTTTAATTAAAAATATGTTTTTGTGGATAACATCAGATTATCATGCCAAGTTCTGTGAAATGAAGCCATAGGTGCTTTCCCTCGTTCTACAAGATCTATTGAAAACTCAACAAATTTTAAAACCAAAAAAAAAATTTTTGTCCTGAGTTCATTGTGTCTTGTTAGCATACAGGTTTAGAAATGTAAACCTAAATTTTCTTATTTACCATTCAGCGGCTGAGTTGCATAATAACCCTTTCCTGTTGGTGGTATGTAATAAATAGTCTAGGACACTTTTGTTGGCTGCTTTAAGCCTGGTTTTATGTTTATATGTATCTTAATTATTTAGCATGCTTTGTGTTTTATGTGCTACAAGGAAAATAAAGTTTTCAAGAGATGTTTTTAAAATCTCATTGATTAAAAAAGAGCAGAGTACTTTCATCTGAATATTAAGGCTTACATTTGGATGAAAATATCCAGCAGTAGTTAAGACCTAGAGTGATTTTTTTTTTCATTACAGAGCTTCA